GCAAATAGCATTTAATTGTCTTCATCTAGATCAAGTTTTGTCATTTTATACTTCACTATTGAATAATTCTGGAAGCATTTTGCTTCTTTAATTTAATTTGATATATCACTTAATTTCAATATCTTTGAGATTTTTTTGTCTAGTAATGAATGTCTTTTTCCTCTTTGTTTGCTCAAAGGTCAAGTAAACTATTAACTTTTGATGCAATTAGTCCAAGTAGTTGTGGAAAGTGGATGAAACTTGTATGAATTGATCTTACTCCAAATATTAAATTACAAATTTTATTTTTTTAACAACAAGACATTTTATTTTCTGTTGTAATAATTTCTCAAATGGATTTAATTTTCAGCTTAAAACATGATTAGTACCTGATGATGATATAAAATGTAAATAATTTCTCAAATGAATTTAACTTTCAGATAACACTCGGTGACTGGTTGCTGATGTAAAATATTATGAAAATATTATGAAGTGGTTCTTTGTAATTTTTTATTTTTTGTGGCAATTATATAAATAAGCCAAAGCCTTAGTGTTCACTAGTTTGAAGAATTATATTTATATAGAAATCAGCAATCGGTGGAGACAAATTTTGTTGTCTACCTAAAATTATTGTTGGATAAATGATTTATTACAGCTTCATGCAATTTCAATCAAGTGACATACGAAATGATGAAATATATCAATTGTGCATTAAAAAATGCGATCGACTGATCAATATTTGAATTCCTTAGCATTGGGAAATTTTGTGAGTATATATATTAAATTAGATTTAAGTAGATAGTTTATAAATAGTTAGTCAAAAGTTTTGAAATAAAATAGATGCAGCAGAGATATAAATATTTCCAGATTTTGATATTACTGTAAACTGAATCCCTTGATTGAAGTTGAGTTGAAATAATGCTGCCGATCCCTAAAAAAGATACTTATCAATTTTTAAAGAATATATTAATATCCATTTGTTTGAAATATAAACCATATTAGCTAGTTGACTTCTCACCTAACCTTTATAATAGTATGTACCAAATAAATTAACTTTGAAAATTTGGTAAATTAATAAATAATTGCTATGTGTAACAACCATATATCTATTTCAAACAAAGCTGAATCTATGAATGTGTCATTTTAACCTTCATTTTCAAATTTTTTAATTTAATGTATATATGAAATCCTATACAGTATACAATGTACACTGAATTATTCTATAAAAAATGTAAATTCAACAATGTATAAAATATATATGTATATACACAATATGGTAGTTGATGCAATAGATTTATATATATATATATATGTGTGTGTGTGTGTAACTTCTGTTAGACCGTTATAAGTTATTTACGTACAGGTGATAAGCGTTTAATAATAAGATTAATTACAATTAATTTAGCCTTAACCTAATGATGCATAATACATGAATGTATATGTGTGTCAGTTAATATTAGTTGTGATCCCAATAATTTATTATACTACTATAATGTAATGTTTATTATGGAGAAACATGATCAGGACTTTGCACACTAGTTTGAAACTTGGAGAACATTTTTTATTTTTATTTTTAAAATTAAAGATAATTGATGAGTCTTTGACTTGTTCTTGCCCTCTTCTTTTTCTCCCTAAAATTAATCCTAGGGAGATTATCATTTATGAACAATCTTTGACAAACGGTGACACTGTTAATTTAATTTAGGTAAAATAATATTTCATATTAAACTTGCGGAAAATTTTGAAAACAAAATTAAAAATAAATATATTGTATCATAAACATCAATGTACGTAGAAATTAAATAAATGGTAGAAATGAAACAACTTGCTTAAATAGGTAGTTTTGACAAAATATTATGCAAAACTAGAAAACTATTACAGGACACGTGTCCAATGTGTATTTATTACAGGACACATGTCAATACACTATTTATGGAAAACTATAGATGACTCCATAAATCGAGTCATCCGATGACTTCATAGCAAAACCGTTATATATATATATATATATATATATCAAAACAATATATCTAGATATAGAATAGGCATTAATTATAGTATTTCAAATTTTCAAGTATTATGATTTATGCTTGTGTGTGTATATATATATATAGTCATTTAACATAGAATTTATTCTAATTTAGAGTAGTTTTTAAGCAAAATCTAAGTTATGTCTCGAATTGTTTTCGTTTATTCTAAATGGAATATATTCTTTAATTCTCATTACTTTGAATTATTTTAATACTAAAATATAATTGAATTGTATATATTATTCTATTCGACCAATATTTTTCAATCTTACAGGTCTGCTATACTAATACGATATACTATTTGACAAAACAAATTATCTTTTATAATACTTTTAATTTATTTTATTGTAATTTAATATAAATATATTCCTCCAAAATAATATGTCTGTACAACTCTATAAAAGTTTTTTAAATAACTTGCTTAATTAAGAGTAAAAAATTTTATCTAATAGACTTTTATAGCTTAAGAGTGAAACCAAAAAAGAAGTATGTTGCTGTCATTCAATTTTGTATTTTAATGTTATAAGTAACTACTGTAATTTTCTAGACAAAATATAATTAAAGACACCAAACTATAGTCCTACTCTATATATTAGCTGCTATATGTGTACATAGAGACAACATTAAAGAGAAGCTTAATAAAGATATTGACAATCTTCATATGATAATTTGATGTTGAAAAAGTTGGACATTTTTCAACTTTAGCAAATTGATGATAATTTGTCCTAATGTTAGGGACCTACACCTATCATTAACTCCACAATTATTCAATTATTTCTGCCACCATAAAATAAAATGCCTTTCAAAATTCAGTATAATTATCCAAAATATGGCAATAAATCTACTTTTCAACATAATGTAAATGTATAATTTTTTTTGTATCAAAATATTATACTTGAAAATATAACATAAATAAAAACATGTCAACTCATGATATATATAGTAAAACATATTTTTTCAAAAATTATAACACGTCAACTCTCTGAAGATAGAGCCGTCAAACGACCATATATATATATGTTTGCTTTGTGGATAGAAATTATCGCAATATGGAACTCAAAAGGCGATGTAATGGCAAACCACTCCAAATAGTTTTGACTTAATTTTAAGTGATCATATTTTTCCCAAATTATTGTCCTCTGTCTCAAGCTGAAAACTTATCATCCAAATTTTAAGAATTGTAATTAAAATAATCGATCCAATACAAAAAGAGGTTATAACTAATCAATTTACATTTATCTTAGAAGCATATCCCTTTTCATTTAATTTTGCAATACGTATATAAACAAACAATGGTTGAACAGTTAGTCAGCCTAACATCAACATTTGTATAGTTTTTAAAGTATAAGTTAGCATTTCTTATTAATAAAGTATAATGTCAAATGGTTAGGCTGCTTAATAGAGAATTATGTATACTAGTAATTATCCTGTGCACATGTACAGATATACGTAAAATATTATAAGTAATATGTGCGAATATAATATTAAAATTCTAGATAATATACATATCACATTTTCAAGATTTGATCATTAATAAAAATAATAATATAAATATAAATTATTTACGTATATATGAATCACTATATTGATTGAAAAAAGTTTGTGGATAATTTAATTTTTATAATTTTGAGGGATCGTGGTCAAAGTATTATTAATATTTATAAGACTTTATATTTGACTATGATATTTAAACTATTTAGCTAATTTTTTCAAAGAAAATTGTTTCATGAGATACAAAATAAATAAAAATAATAATATTGATTTTACAATAGATGAGCTTGAAGAAAAAAAAATACCATACAATTGTTTATACTTATGTAATTTGTATTTAGTGTAAATTATTATTAGTTGGTATCAACATTAACTATTATATAATATAATATCAAAAAATATATTATTATACTTAATAGGGTGTATTAATCTGAAAAGTAAAAAAAAAATATTATTGATATAATTTTGTAACGGAAAATAGAGGGAAACCAAATAATTTTATTAAATGTCTTGCCAACAATTATATATATATATATATATATATATATATANGTAAAGGATTGGTATATGAGGCAAAAAATATCTCCATAAAAAAGGCCACAAAAATAAGATAAATAAATATTTGAAAGGCCTAGCCAAATATCGATATGCTTTTTTGGTCACCACCACAAGCAATAAAACAATTGAAAGCAGATTCTATGTGTGCGAAAATAATGAAAAAGAAATAAATTGAGAGTGTAGGGTGTGTCCCACATCGAAAAATTAAAGGTTCAAAGTCCAATATATAAGTTTGGTGGTTTACTCTTTTTATTGTCAATTGGTTTTAGAATGGAACCCTATTTAGATTTATATGTTAAGTTTGATGGAGAATTGAATTTTAAGTTGTTGGTCTCAACATAGAGATCACATAGAAGGTCTTACTAAGAGGTGTGTAAAAGGCAAATTTTTATTTTTATTTTTTTCAGCAAATTCTCAAAAAGAACATGGAAAGTATAATGATATACAGCTTTTCATTTCCAAATTTGAAGATGTGACTTTTGTCATGCACAAGTTTCTCCTGGGAGTGAGGAATTTTTTTGGACTTTGAATTTGAGGAAAAGTTGTTTTTTCTTTAATATAATTCTTATGTTATTATTGATTTTTTAGCATTAATTTTCTAAGGAAATTAATATGCAGCCCAACAAGGCCAATTAGCTGTGAATGTGGGATGGGGTCCCTAATCAGAACCTAAATCCAAACTTTAGCTTTATATAAATCGTTTAAATCTATACTCTTCTCTATATAAGTGGAACACAAATTCTTGTGTGAGTCAACCTAATCATTAGGCGAGTCGATCTGTCATACTTTAGCTAATATTTCTGTTTTGAATATGATATTTTCTAATTAAATTATGCATATTAGTGATACGAGTATGCTGGCCAAAGACAAAACCCAATGCAGGTGGAATAACGTGACTACAACTCAATGTTATCTTGAAAGAGTTGAGAATAATACTTATAACTAAGTTAGGAATATATATATGTATATAGGTTAATTGTCTAGGCTTAGTAGTTTTGATTCAAGGTACATATATACAAACACAACCCACTTTAAGATATAAAAAGAGAGCTTCATTCGAGATTAAATGTGAAATAAGATATAAAAAGAGTGCTTCATTCGAGATTAAATGTGAAATAATAAAGAAATAAAAAAGAGCATCCAAGGCAAAAGGGAGGCTACATGCATGGTTGCTCATGTGTTTAAAAATAAAATAAATTAAAATAAGAAACTAAGGTTGTCATAGATCAAAACTTCAAAAGGCTTGTCACAAAATCTCAAAAGCCATTTTTAGTAGATGCTTTCATTTATTTGGGTCACCACATTACTTGTAACTCTTTCTTTTAAAATTTCTCTATTTGTGTTCATTTTCTTTTCTTACTTAATATCTTTTTTTCTCCTTGTTTCATCTCAGTCTGCTTTAAAACAACGCATTCTTTCCTTCCCACACATATATTTTTGTTTGGTTATATACCCAAACACAAAAAGTTAAGTACTCATTCTTTGTCCAAAAAGGGCCATTTTGTGGAGGGCCCCTTGAAAATAACCACACTAAATGTATATTTTTCTATACAAATATTTGCTTTTTTTAATTACAATTTTACAGCTTCTATCTCAATTGAGATGAGATGCTCGTCTAAAAAATAAATAAATAAAAATTGAGATGCTCGTCTACCCATCGTCAGGACATCAACGTGTGTCCACTGTTCACCAACCTCATATCAAGATTAGGCCAGTAAACGAGCCGAGTTGACTCAGGCTCGTTTATCAATATTAGCAAATAGAGTTCGAGCCTGAATGAATCGGTCTTGAGCTTTAACGAGCCGAATTATAAAAAATTATATAAAAATTCACTTTTTGAGTCTTATTGAGCTGAACGGAGCTTGACTCGCTAACGAAACGAGCCTGAGTTCAGTTTGTTTATCAAACGAGCCGAGCCAAACTCGAGCCTTAACGAGCCGGGCTAAACCGAGCTCACGACCGGCTCGTTTTGTTTAACAACTCTAATCACGATCTTGTACTCTTTGAATATTATATTCTCTGTGTACAGTATGCTAATCTCTTACCATATTAGCTAGTAAACATATTAACATATATCCACCGTGAACAAGAAAATGGAACCATAGATCTCAAAGGCTAAACATTTAATATAAGTAACATACTACAAACATCTTTGAATGGCTGAGATGAGATTTGCTGCCTCCATTTTCATGGTGGTGTAGTTTCCTTTTCAGTCCCCAACAACTTTATATCTCCCTTTTTATCTTCTTTGTATTTGCGTGACTCCCAAATATATGTGTCTTAATCATCTGAAGTCTCTCATCAAAGGTCAAACACAAATAGGCATTGTGTCACATCCCATTTTAAGTGGTTCTCTTTTTGCAAAATTAGTTATTTGTTGGGAAATTCGAACTAGTTGAAATAGTACTTTGAGCTTAATGTGACTTTCACACTCATGAAGATTGTAAGATGATGAGGCATATAGAAATAGAAAAAAGGGGAAAGAAGCTTGAGGTTAACTTTGGTAAATGATAAAGATGGAAGTTGTGTAAATCAAGAAAATATATAGACTATAAATATGTGTGCCTTTCTATTTATTCAATTTCTTTGGCTTGTTAAAAGCATTTCACATAACCAAAATAAACCCAATCTCTTTTCCAGCCAAATATAAATGAATTGTGTAAAAGTGAAACTACAAAGGTCTCACATTTTGGCCACTTGGAGAAAACCTTCTTGCTCCTTGATGAGAATATGCTTGACATGTTTTAGCAATATATGGTTATATTTTTACAGTTACAAACCAACTACTTTTGCAATAGAATTTTTCAATAAATCAAAACAGTAACGTATTTCGACCAACTATTGTGCTTTAAAAATCAACGATACGAATCTCTGCTGAGTTACCGGCAAATTTAGTCCAGCGAAAAACATCGGCAGAACAAATCTCGTTTGACTCGAACAGCAATGCATTTGATCAAACTCCGTAAGAGTGGTGAAAATGTTTTCACTCCTGTAATTCCGCCTGCTCACACAAAAATTTGTATCGAGCGTGGATAACTTATTTTTTTCGAAGCGATGAACTTCTAACGTGAAGATTGTAAGCGTAACAAGAAACGTATTGCAAAATATTTTCAATTTTACGGTTATATTATGCACTAATATCAGGCTGAACATGATTTTCCATCAAGATTTTAGCAGCTAGCAATAGCCTAGGCAAAAAACATTGGAAATAGCTTTCAGTATGATTTTTATGTTTTTACCCCCAATGGATCAAATGAGTAGGCAAACACACATCAATATTTCCATAGTTATGAAGAAAATAGTAAATGAAAGAGGCATTCATGATCTCAATAGAAAAATATCTTCATAGATATGTACTATAGTTATTTATTCAAGATATTTTCAAGGTAAAGCTTTCTAGAGTTCAGTAATACAATACCTGTATACAACTCTATGCTGGCAACTTTTTTTGATTTTCTTAGGGATGTAACTTTGAAGTTATATCCCTAAATTTCAAAGATCATAAGCTCCAAATGTTATATACAGAAAAAAAAGCAAGACAACTAACATTATATCCTAAAAAGAAGCAATGTGAAATAAAGTAGAAAAAAACAATTAAGTCATCCAAATAGTAAGGACATTTGCTTAATCAGGACATTATTAACATCTAATTTCAACCAGACACAAAACAGGGAAGAAAACAGAGAATCAATCTTGATAGACACAGCACATTATATGGGTAAAGCAAAGGACATCAAAACGAGAGCGTAGCCAATAATTGTTCGTCGAAAAGTGAAATCTCATAACAAATTACCTCGTCAGCTACGCCACCATCGTCGATTCGCTCTAGTTGCTTACTAGCGAAGGCCGTGATCGCCGGCTGCCGGTGTTTCAACGGGATACCCTTAGCACTCACTTCCACTTTGAAGTTTGAACCTCGATTTGATTTTGGGGGAATCTCAGCTGAGAGCGCGACGGCGCAGGTTAGCCCGAGAGCAGCACGACAAAAGTGAGGACAAAAAAGTAACTTAGACGAATGAAAATATAATTTTATTGAATTATTTAATTAATATACAAATAATTTAAAAATTAGAAAATGTGAAAAAACTCAGATTTTGAGTACTAGAACCAAAATAATTAAAAAATGAGGTAAATTTAGGGACGAATTATTTCCGTGAATCTAATAAATAATGTGGAATGTTTTTTCTTTTTTCTAAATTGGAACCAAATTTTATTTAATTAAATTGAATAAAAGTTAAAAACGGTGAATGTTAGGGTAAATAAATCAAATCAAGCTCATCAGATACACTTTTCACCTCATAAAACTAATTTCATCATTCAATTTCCAGCATTTTGCATTAATGCATTACTTTCAGTTTTTTTCTTCTCAGTTTTAACATTCATCATTAAATACAATAAATATTTATGTGGAACAAAATCACCAGAGGAAAAAAAATGGAATAATTGCAAAATAAGCTAAGTAATGTGTTGACCGTATAATGTGATTAGATGTTATTATTGTTGTTACATTTAATTTTTTTTTTGAAAATAAAAAATATATTTGAAATTCCTAAATAAATAATTCACAAATAAAAGACGTACCAAAATATACATTACATTCAATCAGATAAACGCAATTTAAAAAAAAAAAAAAATATTCTAACTCTTTTAATTGTAAATTTGGTTTGCAAAAAAGTGAAAGAAAAATAATTAATCATTATATGCATACAGACTCACAATAATTTATTTATATCTGTGCAAATGCACAGGTCGAATACTAGTGATGCTTAAGCAATCAGTTACACAATAAGAACATTTTCTAATCAATTAAGGAAAAAAAAAGAAAAAATAAAAACCAATCTCAATTCTCAGGCATTTCTTTTATACAGTGAAACAAGTAGCTAAACTGAATAAAGGCTCTTCTTTATCAGTGACGAATTGTCCTCGAATATCCAAACAGCAGATCTAAAAGGATAATCAAGTTCTCTTCAAAAGATAACCCAACAGTATGCCTATCAAGCCAACAATGACGACGTACATAAACGGGATACCCCCATGGCTCCGGCTCCTTTGACGCCTCAAAAGTTCCTGTACATATAGCAAAATAAAACAATCGATGATTCATAAAACAATCGATGATTCATATAAGCTGCTTTAGGTGCACATAATAGTAATGCTGTAAGGGAAATCCAAATGGGGACGTGTTTATAAACAACGAGCGTATTCTTAAGGAGTTCAAAGGGTCAATCATGGGTAATCAAAATTAAAAACTGTTGTAATGGATTTTTGTCAACATTACCTTACATTAAGGAGTTCACAATACATTTTAATTGATTTGTAAAGGTTAAGGAAAAATTACGGGCAACAATAAGACACGGAAAATAGTAAGAACAGTAACAATCATCACATTGGAGAGCTTAACGATATTTCTAGATGAGCTCCAGAAATGTGGAGGCTCCCAATTTTTTTATTTACTTAAATATCTTATTTTATTTTCAAATGAGATCTTCTAAGATCCAAACACATTTCACACGACGAATATGCTTTCAATGTCTTTTAAGCATGCTCACCCAAAGACCTTTCATTGTTAGACATAATAAGTCCACATTTTTCAAATGTGGATAGATATATTTGCAGATATTGTTCATTGAAAGAAGGAAGTGTAATGCAACTCAGAAGTATTTACCAATTCTTGCTGAAGCTTGTGATTTTGCACAATAACTGAATTCTTCTCCTCAGTAAGCCTAGAAATCAACTTAAACTACAATAGAAGCAAAAACAATGATCAACAATTTTCTGTTACTTGTTAAGTCTGAAAAAGAAACATGGGACATATTCGTTTAACAAAATGCAGTGGTCTTTTAAGTAAAATGCAGAAAAGAAGTTAGTTTGAATTACTCTGTCCAATACCAAAATTTAACCACATTCCTGTGACCTTAATCACAAAGGAAAGCCGAACCAAAAGGCCAAGAAAACAAAATATATCTTTTTAATGTTCTCAGGATTAACAAAAAATATGCTATGCACTCGTTAGATATCAAATACGTGCCATAATAGAATAACACCCTATTTCCAAACGTAGCGTCTCACCACTAGCTAGGTTGATTGCTCTTGTTCTTAATGCCTAAAATGTAAGCCGATCAATAACTTGATTCATGATTTCAATAAAATGAAACAAACAATGAAACCCAACATCAAGTCAAATGTTCAAACTCTATTGTGCTTTCCTAGTGTAAGAAGAAGAAAAAAAGACATTTCATCAATGACATTCAATATGGGAATCCCTGTGATCCTCCAAATACAGCCGTGTAGAAAACTGAGAAAATCCAGGATATTTGGAAGTCCAATTACAATTTACTCATTCAAAATAAGATATTGACCTTAGCACTGCCAAACATTCCAAATCATTAACTATTAATAAGAAGAAAAAGGGAAAGAACCTCAGATGTATTCTCCTGAGCCTCAGAAAATCCTTTCGACGTCTTCATCCTCTTGGGATCAGGAATTCTTATCTAATTTAAGTGATACATAAAAGAAAACCAATAAGTATTTGACTTCTTAAATGAAAAGATTAATGTGTAACAGATAAACACAAGCACATCCTCACAAAAGATCAAGATACTCACATCATTTAAATCAGAAGTCTGATTCACTGTTTCATTTTCCGATATCGATGCCCTTGGGGAAGAACCTTCTTCAGATCCCTCCCGGACAGGCGAAGGAGGTTGTAAGGGCGCAGCATACACAACTTTCAACTTGCATTCATCAACTTTATTTCCAGACTCCTTGTTGAACTAAATGAAAAACAAAATAGGAGCAAATTTATTTACTCACTAAAACCCAAAAATTGATTCTTTAACTTAACAGTAAACCAAACCCAAAATCCAGAAACAAACTAAACTGCAGTAATAAATGCATGAGATCAGTAATAAATGCATGAGATCAATATACCATCTCAGCAGTAATATCTTTCGCAGCCAATCCCGGGCTCACTACAACACTCTGGAGAAGGAATTTGTCCCTGCATTGCATGTCTGGCGGAGCCTCTTTCTGGGCTTGCATCGTAACTGAACAACCGAACAACTTACAAGTTCAGAAACACATTTCTTATTAGAATTATACCGGAATACAAGATCATCAGTTCTCTAACTAATGAATGAAGCAGAAAATTAAAAACTTCGAACAGACCCATAACGTCACAGGTAGAGTGGGGAACCACAACTCCAGTGTTGGGCCTCACGCAATACTTCTTCGGATTCGTAGTCTTCACCTGAAAGCATATAAACAAAGGAAAGGATAAAATCAGACACTCTCTCAAATGCAAATGCCCTTTTCCATTCCTTTTATCATATTTTTTCTACACTCTCCACATGACATGGAACAAACTAAACGAAGCTAAACATCAGCTATACCTTGAATGCAACATAATTATCGGATTTGTTGGTCAATTGCATGTTACACGAGATCTGCCTCTTCAGCTCGACTTTTACAAAACAAGGAAGGATAAAGAAAATCAGTAACACGAAATCGGAATATTCCACGAGCATCCATCTAACAAAGAATTGGACCAATAAAAGACGAAATTCTAAAACAGAGACATAAACAGAGGCAAAAAAAAAGACGACAATTACATGGGAATTGAAGCTCGAGCGGCTCGATTTGAAGGAGGTTGTCGTTGCTCATTTTTCACGCTGATCGCCGATATATCCGCCGGAGAGTTCAGGGTACGTAGGATGCCGGCGGCGGAGCTTCAACAAAAACGGCTTCACCGATTGAGGAGCGAGCGGAAGAGGAGAGAGAGATCTGGGGTTTCCGAATTTCTGTAGAATTTTTGTTTGTTTTGTTTCGCCCTTCTTTTACGAGTTTGTTTATCTACGGTAAAAACTGGCAAATCCCCTTTACTTAGAGTCGTGGTTTTATTGGACTACGTTGTCGGGGACAGTGTTCCTCAAAAAGCGTGTGTTGTGGTGGTGGGTGAATTAGGTTGTTTGTATATGAAAATACTAATCCATACTCAATTCATATTCAAAATTTAATTTAACTTTAATTTAATTCTATTATTCTTAATATTATTAATATAATTAAATAATAACAACTAATAAATATTACACATCATATCAACTTTAATTTACTATCCATCCACTCATATAATTTTAATTAATCATAACTTCATACTATTTCTTTTCTACTTTTACCTCCAATCAACTTTAATTATTTTATTTTAATATAAAATCAATANGAACGGATTTACGCCTAATTTCTCCAACCTTAAAATCCCCCAAAATCATCAATCATTCCTTTCTTTTTTCTTTTGGAAGATCCCACACAACTAAACAGCGGTGGCGACAGCTGGAGACCCACTGACTGCCATCGGGCTCTACCGTATACAAATTTGGTTTGCCACCGATGAGCGACGGCTCTGCAACTGTATGCGGCGTCTCTTCTGAGCCGGGATTTTTTTGTTGGTGCTCGGAGATATTTATTCTTTTTTGGCATATGTGCAGCGATGTATTGTTTGTAAGATTTAAGAAGAAATTTTTGGATTCAGACTTGGTTTTTACGATGGTGGCCATTTGTTCAATTTAAAATTTCAATAGAAGCTTGTTCGATTTAGCTCTTGATCAATAGGTTAAATACATTCATAACAGTTAGAAATAGCCAAAAAGCAACACAAAGAATTTGTTATTGTAACTTAAAAAATTGTAGTTTTGCTATGAAGCAAACAATAAGCCAACCTTCTATCTATAATAAGTAAATCATACCATATCAATGTCATTATTAATACTTAATTATTAAGTAATCAGAAAGAATATGGTATGATTTATTTAATATGGTATGACTTACTTGTTGTATGTAGAAGGTTGGTTTCAATATAAAACTAACTGTTGACTTCATATCAAAACCGTAAAAAATTAATAATATGTTTTAGAGAAAACAAGAAACAATATATTAGGTGTCATAACAATAAAATAACAATAAAATATTAACTTAAGTTTTATAACAAATATTTCAATTAAATACGAATTACCTGTGAGTCGAATACTTTTTAATAACCTTTTTATATTATATAAGAGACAATATAAAATAAAAATTTAGAAATTAAAAACCACAACGTGCATGATAAGCAAAAATGCAATTTGCTCTTCAGTTGATTCCACAATTGCGGCCATGGATAATAGCCCTTGATTTAAATTTTAAACACACATGCCTGTAAAATCAAAGGCTAAAAAAGCCCATCCTTTTTTTATTGGGCGACGGTAAAAGGCTTTAATTAACAAAACTCAAGAAACATAATACTGCAATGCAATTCCAAAGAAAAACTCCCAATAATTTCGGGTCATTACATAGTTGATCATTTTGATATGCCATTTATACCCCTGTCACGTTTAATATTTTTTACTTTTGCTGCACAAACTTCCTCAAATAACACAGTGTTTCTCATGTAATGAGGTTCCTTAACCTCTCAATGTACTATTTGTTAATTTTGAGCAATGAAGTTTCTGTCGTTTTGAAAAAAAAAAAAAAAAAAAAAAAAAAAAAAAAAAAAANCAGCTCCAAACAAAACAAACTCAGCCCAAAAAATGGAAGCTTCTAGAGACTCCAGACCACCACGCGGGCCAGAGGCAATTTACATTATCATAAGAGCATCCACAACCCAAATTCTCAAATACCATTCATTCAATCAAAAAGTAACACTCTCTCTCATCCACATCATCTTTTCACTAAATCTCTCTCCATTTAAACACATACCCACATTCATTTAAATACATATATGGGACCTATTATCCACTCATTCAATATAAATTTTAATATTCTATTCTCAATAAAAATAAAAATTTAATATTTTTAAATTATAATAATAAATTTTAAATGCACAAAAATAAAAAAACACTACAAGACCAAAAGAAAAAAATAATTAAATATATAAAAAGAAAAAAAATGAATTAAAATCAAATGAAAACCAAAAAAAGGCACCCAAAGTGCATAAAAAATAAAATGAATTAAAAAATATAAATATATAAAAATAAGAAAAATGGTTAAAATTAAATGAAAACAAAAAATAGTACCCAAAGTGCATTAAAAATAAATGAATAAAAAAATAATAAAAATAAGGCACAAAAGTGCCGTTCATTCTATTGAACGGACAAGTGGGGACCCACCCTTTAATGGACGGCCTCATTGCAAATGAATGGCAATATGGCGTTTAAACGAAGCAAATTAACACCCGTTGCAGATGCTCTAAGTGGGGGCCATTGTCCTCCCAAACTTTTGATTTGCCTTAATATATGTATGTGTATATATTTCAAGACTTTTAAATTTTTAATATATATATAGATTAAACATTTATAAAACATGTTCAATTTATACTCATTCCTATAATTATGACAAATTACTGTATCGCTCTATTTACTAATTAGTTTTAACTACATCATATTTTGTAAGTACCCTTTCAACAATATTTTTATTTTATGTTTGATCTTACGTATAATTAAAGAATTAAAGAGTAAATTTAGAATAGAAGAACATGAAACATATGCAATTCAAAGGTTCGAAAGAGACTTGCTATAACTATTAATACGGTAGTAGACATTCTCTTGGCTACTTACTTTTTCAACAAAGATATTTATACTTTAATACTCAAATGTCATACTTTATAGTGCAGTACAAATAAAAGTATGACATTTCATAGTATAAAAATACATTTTTAGTAAAAAAAAATATCTGTCAAAGAATTAGACAGCCCACCAATTATAGCATTTATGTTAATATCAACCCATCATCAATGAGTTTCGTGAGTGTAAATAATGTTGAACTTTAAACTACCAAAATTAAGAAGTTATGTATTTTGTAGTGCAACGTATTAATTATTTTATCCATTTTAAAATGCAATTTTACGCTTATATATATGTATGCGTGTGAATAGATACTATAAATTATATAGTTCCCCACGAAATGTTATCCGTGTCTAGTCAAGTTGAATACCTCATGTTTAAACTTGTGATAGTTAATAAATGAGACAGATCAACTCGGCTATTTAATAAATAAACAAAAATATGAGCTCAAACTTTACTTGTGTAAGATTCAATCTACTCGATTTGTTTAATAAGAAAGTTTGAATAGTCGTTCTAACTTGACTCATTTAAATATATGAATGATATGAGATCAAATTTTCACAAGTTGAACAGACACAATCCGATTTCAATTAATTGCTTTGGCCCCTCCCAATTTTTTTTTTTCTAGATCCGCCCCTACACGCGGCTCTAGCTACATTATCGTAATTTCTCGCCGGATAAAATGCGCTTTTCGCCATCAGCACTTGTGCTCGTGAACATGAAGTACCCGTCCGGGCCTGACAAGGGCCCGTTTGGCGAAAAGCCCGCCGCCTTTTGGTGTCTTGCGGCTCTTGTGTGCGTGCTAGTCTCGATAGTCTCCCTGCTCGCCGTTTTTCTCCCGGGAGAAAAATGGGCTCTCTTAATTTTAAAATCTTACTTTTCTTTTACTCGATTTCCTTTAAGTTTAAAATTCATTGAACAGAAATGTATATTACGAAAAAGTAAAATGAATGAACAAGTGATCATTCGCATAATTTAATTCGGTCCAATTTTTTACACCCATTGGATATTTGGCGATACCAGACATGGTGAAGGATATTTAACACTAATTGGATCTTTTGGAGGAGAGATGAATATTTTTTTCTTAAAAAAAAAAAGTAGTAGAAACTTCGTGCAGGATTCGTCATCTATCCACGTCAGCTCATCCTTTATATTCTCAGGATTCGTCATCTATCCACGTAAGAAATGGAAAACAATATTGCTTGATCTCACCAGTTTTGGTGTGTGTATCAGTGCATGGGTGTGTACACGTTGCATATCAATGGCACAGTTAGCCGCCGTTTAGATTGACTTTTAATGCAAAAGTGGAATCCTAATTAACAATATTTGAAAATAGGATATGCATAAATTAATATTAACCTATATCTTTTTCGATTGTAGCTAGCTATTTCACATGCCCACAAATCTCTAGTTTTTTAAATTTTATTTTTAATTGAAGAATAATTTTTAGAGAAAAAATTTAATAACTCCGTTATGTGTTTTTCGTTTACATATGNAATAATTTCTAGTTTAAATGTGACATGTCTTGAGATATTTAAAATTTTGCGGCGGTCATATATAGAAAGTAGAAACAAAAATGGTAAGAAATAGACTAATATTACGTAATGATATTTTAAAAAAAAAATAAAAACAAACATGGTAACAAAAGATTTTGGAGAGTCTTAAGACAGAGAAAGAATGATAGTATGCTTTTGATTGTGAACACTGAATACGACAATATATATTTTTCGTCCAATTACTATGTGAAAATTGTGTTATATATGAGACATTTTATATTAGTTTTGGTCCTAATTGATTGAATGGCTGAGCCCAAAATAAATAGTTTGTTTAATTTATTTTATTTTAATCGATATCATTTGTTTCATTTAGGTCTAAATTTGAGGTCATAGAAAAGTTATTTACTAAAGTGAGCACCCTCATTTTAGTTTATTTATTGATCCACAATTTTTTTTATGAATGAAACAACATAATGTAGCTACTGATCAACCATTGCAATAGATAAAGTTCAATACGGATTACCATAATGCATCACCTACTTTTTTTGTATCATTTATCATAAATGTTAATTTTATAAAAAAAACTACTCTTTTATTATGCCTATTTGTAACTTACAAAAAGTGATCTATCTTTTACGTCATTATGATCAACATCGAATTTATTTTGCAAACTACTCAATTATTGAAAGTTATCATAATGAATACAATTCATCCACTAATAATGTTATATTTAGAGAAATAATTAAAATATAGTAAATAAATTTTTATCCTACTTTTTAATATAAATATTTTTTATTTATTTAAATTATAATTTATCCCCATTATTTTTAACACCAGGCTGCGCAACGCGTGCGGGTAGTGTACTGGTTAAGGGGGTGATTGTTTAAGGATTCAACTAGTTTTTATTTGATTTCTTTTAATTATTGTTATTTTTTTTTAAAAAAAAAAATGGTATGGTTAGTTGTTAGTGGATATAATAAAATAATATTTAAATAAAATAATTAAAGTTAATTTGTTTTAAAGTATGAGAAAAATAATTAGAAGTGATGATTTGTTAAGATTATATGAGTGGATGAATAGTGAATTAAAGTTGATGTGATATGTAAGAATGCTAGGTTGATATTATGTAATTATATTGATAATATCAAGGACAATAAAGTTGGGTTAAAGTTGAGATAAATTTGAGTTTTGATTGATTGTTTTTAATTGAGATCATTAGAGCATCTACAATGCATTGAGTATAGTCTTGGTTATGTGGCATGTAAATAAATCCAAATCTTGGATGAATCCAAACTGTGTATAATTAACAAAATCTACTCCAATGCAAAGAGACTAGGTCTCTACTTGGGTCTAAAATAGACTTAAGGGTAGACCGAGTCTCTTTTTCTGGCTACAGAGGAGGATTTACATTACCATAAGGGGGGCCATTGTCCTCCCCCCCCCCCCCCCCCCTCCCCAAACTTTTCATTTGCCTTATTATATATGTATGTGTATATATTCCAAGACTTTTAAATTTTTAACATATAAAAAACATGTTCAATTTATACTCATTCCCATAATTATTACAAATTACTACATCGCTCTATTTACTAATTAGTTTTAACTATATCATATTTTGTAAGTACGCTTTCAACAATGTTTTATAATATTTTATGTTTGATCTTACGTACAATTAAAGAATTAAAGAGTAAATTTTAAATTGAAGAACATATAACATATGCAATTGATCAATGGTTCGAAAGAGACTTGCTATAACTATTAATACGGCAGTAGGCATTCTCTTGGCTACTTACTTTTCCAACAAATATATTTATACTTTAATACTTAAATGTCATACTTTATAGTGCAATACAAATAAAAGTATGACATTTTATAGTATAAAAATGCATTTTTAGTAAAAAAAAATATCTGTCAAAGAATTAGACAGCCTACCAATTATAGCATTTGTGTTAATATCGAGCCAATCATCAATGAGTTTCGTGAGTGTAAAGAATGTTGAGCTTTAAACTACCAAACTTAAGAAGTTATGTAGTCTGTAGTGCAACGTATTAATTATTTTATCCATTTTAAAATGTAATTTTACGCTTATATATATGTATGTGTGTGAAGAGATACTATAAATTATATAGTTCCCCTCGAAATGTTATCCGTGCCGAGTCAAGTTGAATACCTCAGTTTTAAACTTGTGATAGTTAATAAATGAGTCGGATCAACTTGACTATTTAATAAATAAAAAAAATATGAGCTCTAACTCGACTTGTGTAAGCTTCAATCTACTCGATTTGTTTCATAAGAAAGTTTGAATAGTCGTTCTAGTTTGACTCATTTAAATATATGAATGACATGAGATCAAACTTTCACAAGTTGAACAAACACAATCCGATTCCAATTAACTGCTTTGGCTCCTCCCAATTTTTTTTTCTAGAGCCGCTCCTGTCTGACTGCCACATCAGCAGGACCCAGTCTATATTTACTTGCATTAGAGAATATATTATTTTAGACTAGGTCTATTTCTTACGTAACATTTGTTTTCTTGTGACTTACTCAAAGCCTCCACTCTGAATCCTAAACTTTTTCAACTTGAGAATTTGGGCGGTCATGGAAATCATCACGAAATTCGAGAGATATATAATTTCACATACAAAAAATGAATATATAATGAGACCCATATAATCTAACAAAATAAATATATGTAGTCTCGAGGGACCTTTTCGACTTTTTCGGTCACGGAAATCACCGAGTGACGAAATTCCACATGCAAGACAAAAATGGCACGCATGTGATTTAGTGGTATTAAGACCAATCTAATATAGAAAATAATAAATGTATAGCTATAGTATCGACTCCTTGGCAATTAAGCCTATAAAAAGACCATAACTTGATCCATTTATCAAACTCTTAACAGCTTCCAAGTGAGCCCAAAAAAATGGAAGCTGCTGCTGGAGATGCCAGACCACGATACGTAATTGCTCGCCGGAAAAAATGTGCTTTTCGCCGGAAGCCGTCGAGGTTTCCTCTATCGGGCTTCATGAAATACGCGGTCCCATCAGCACTCGTGCTCCTGAACATGAAGTACCCGTCCGGGCCCAACAAGAGCCCGTTTGGCGAAATGCCTTCCGCCGTATGGTGCTTTCTTGCAGCCACCGGCGCATATTGGCTGCTTGCCGGCCGGAAAATTCGGGCCGCCAACCGGAAATTAATGCACGCCGCGGCTCGTGTGTGCGTGCTAGTCACTTTACTCTCCCTGCTCGCCTTTTTTCTCCCGGGAGAAAAATGGACTCTGTTAATTTTACCTCCAGCTGCTCTGCTGATGTGGCATGTGCTCGAGTTCGGGTACCGTTGGAGTGCTGCCAAGGTTGCGAATGTTGTCGGCAGAATTCGAGCCAAGCAGCAACAGCAGCAGACTTTGCCCGTGTCCAACTATCCTGTTCGCGAATCGATTTAGCTATTTTATTTCAGAGTTTGGGGTATTTATTAGTCAGGGAGTGGATTCTTCGGGCGGTTTTTCGCTTTTAGTATATGTGTGAACACCCAAATATTTAGTTAAATAATGCTTTAAAGATCATAAATCATGCTTTATTATTATTATTATTATTATTATACAGGTTATGGTTGATTTTAAGTATTAACAAAATTAGTATTTGGCTAGTAAAATAACTATAAATCTTCAAAATGTTTTGGACATAGTAGAAATTAGTGGAAGAAGAAAGAAGGGAAATTAGGGAATAAATTTTTGGGACTCCGGGTGGTGTGAAAAGGGAGAAAGAAATAAGGGAAGAAGGAAGAGAAGGAGGAAGTGGAGGGAAGAAAAAGTGCAAAAAAAGTTCGGAAGAGAAAGCGATGAGTTATTTGGGGGGAGTTTAGGTTTTGAAAAGAAAAATTAGACTTATTAAGAAAATAGAGTGGGGTGGTGGGCTTGTCAACGGGTTTGGTAAGAGCATTTGTAAGTGCGTGTTTGTATACAAATATATTCGCTTAAGATGAATTTTTTTAGTTAATCATAATTAATTTTGAAAAAGGTGTATAGTTAGTTGTTAGGGAGTTTTTAATTTTATATTAATAAAATAATTAATGTTGATTTGATGTAAAAGTATGACATAGATGATATGGAGTGATAGTTAATTAAAATTATGTAAGCCGATGAATAGTAAACTAAAGTTGATGTGATGTGTAAGAATGATTGGTTGATATTATTTTATTATTGTTGATACCCAATTTAGCCTCGATTAATAAAAAGGCTAAACGTGGATCAATATAAATATAGCAGGTTCTCTGAGCTGATTATTTAATATCGACCGAGTTCCCGAGTGCTCGGATCATCCACATTCGAGCCGAGCAGAATTAATATCACCAGTCCGACCCGAATATCGAGAAGACCCGAGTCCGACAGACACCATAATCGCCGATAAAGTAGATGTCAATCGAAACCGTCAAGTGTCACGATAGGGCCCTGCAATGTCATCTCACATTAAATACTAATCTTCCCTATTTACCTATTTTTTAATAGGCCCACTTGTAAGAAAAGGGGCATGTATATATATGGGGACATGGGAGAAAAAGAAGGAAGGAGGAATTCACTATTCATTCATCTCTTTTCTACAAAATTAATACAAAACATTCTTGATTTTTCCATCTTCAATATACATACAAAGATCAAACACCGATTATTCACGGAATAGGGGTGTACATTTTCGTTGATACAATTTCGTTTATCAACAATTATATTGATAATATTGAAAATAATGAGATTGAGTTAAAGTTGAGTTAGATTTTGAGTATGAATTGAGTATAAATTGAAATATTTCGTATACAAACACACCGTTGAGCTTCGATCGAATTTTATCCTAAACATTTTCAAGCTCGACTTATCTTTTTATGTCAAGCATTTACTTTCATTATTATTTATTATACTTATTTAAATAAAATAATTCATTTTTCGAGTTGAGTTATCTATTAAGTCAAATTACATTGTATTATTATAGGACAACTAGTATTCGACCTTGTGCATTTGCACAGATGTAAATAAAATTAAATATTATAAATTATATTTATGTATATAATATAAAAATTCTAAGTTATATAATTGTATTATATTTCAAACATATAGTATTATAAGTTATATTTATGTATATAATATAAAAATTATAAGTTATATAATAAATAGTACAGACGATTTGATTGTATACGAATCACTCTATTGACTGCATAAAATGCAATAAATACATACATTTTATAATTTTGAGTGATCATGACCAATTAATTAGCTGAAAAATATTACATTTATTATAACAATTGCTTATGTGATTTTAAGAAATTTTACTATGACATAAAAAAAATTAATTTTTTAATAAACAACATCTTCATCATATAAAAAAATATTGATTTTAGTATAAAATATAAATTTATGTAACTTTCAGATATTATTTAGTATAAAATATAATTACTAATTTTAATATTAACTATTATATTATTCAATAAAAAATATAATTATTAATCAATTAACATAAAATATAATAGTTTTTGTCTTAATTAACCCAAAAAATGTAATGAAATATTTTCTTATTAATGAGATTTGGTGTATTAATGCCACATAAATAAAATTTATTAGGTTCTATTTATTAGGTTTTATTAATGATTTGCCACATAGGTAAAATTTATTAGGTTTTATTTATTAGGTAAAATTTATTGCTTAGCTAGCAATTATATATATATAGATGTCGTTGCACGGTAGAATTTTTGAAGCACATGCATTTCTCAAATTACATGCTAGTCGACTTTCGCTGGGTCACGAAAATGGGTTGGTGTCGCGAGTTAGGAGCTGCAGTTGGGGCATGGGAAATTTCGCGAGTGAGAGGGTTTTGGCGACCCGCGAACGAGCACTCGCCAACTCGCCAAACATTGTTGGGGTAGCGAGTCGTCTGGAGCTGAAAAATCCTGTAGCATAAATTTCCCTTTCTTAGCCAAAATTTCCATTGGCCAAAATTTCATCATTTCAAAGAATTAACTCTCCATCCGATTTCTTGCACCTTTCGCCCCTTGTTTCTCTCTATCTCTCTCTCTCTCTTTTTTTTTTTTTTTNGTCGGTTCTGCCGAGCAGGTCGCATACACTTTTTTTTTCTTGTAAGATAAAAAGAGAGAAATTCAACAAAAACAAAAATGTGAGTTGTCTCCAATGCACCGCTCAATTTAATGTCTTGAGCTCGACGTCCCCAAACCAAAATAAACAAGGATCCAAGGAAAAATATCGATCATGCCATGCTTTTGTATTTTTCACGAGTAGAATAGCCCACCAAAAGGCAACTTTAGGTCGACAACATTGCACAACGGCTCAGAATCCTTCTTAACACAATCCACAAATTATCATACATGCCATAAACCTTATTTTGAAACTTTTAGCACTAAAATATATAGGTTTGTATATATGTTAGAGGTTTACATGTTTAAAGTGGTATTGCAAATATAAACCACCTCTAAACTTCATTAAATAATATTAAAATAAAAAAAACAAATTGTACCGAAAAAATAAAAAATAAAAAAAACAAAAGAGATATTGAGGAGGGAGTTAGAGCACATGGAAAAATACAGGACCATTAAAAAGTAGGTTTATAGAATATATTACTAGTGAAAATTTATAAGCGTGGGAGTAAAATGAGATTTTGAATAATGTGATATGTTTAAAAATATGAAACGAGGTTTATAGAAAGTGTCAATTTGTATCGCCACGCGGGCAAGGAGGTTTATGGTGAGTCGTTGATCATTTTGATATGCCATTTATACCCCTGGCACGCTGTTAAATCGGACATGTTACAAACTGGATCAGATACATGTTGTTTTTCATGTCAAATCTACACAAAAATAGTAAAGAAAATCCTTCAGTTGCAGTGCATTCTCCCAGACAACAATATGCTATTATCTACACATTCTTATGGGTTCTTTCTATTTGTTTTCTTGGACTTTCGAGAGCTTGATATCTCGATGTGAGTATATCAAATTCAGCTTCTTGATTAGTTCATCAGTCATATTTTTGCTGGCTCGATTTTCTTCAGCTGGTGTGTTTCAAGTAGAAACTGAAGCCATTTTTTCTATATTTCCTTTTCATCCAAGTTTCGTCTGTTTCTCGAGCTCATATCTTTGTTTTTACATCATATGAAATTCTCTGGAGCATAAGTTGTACAATATAATCGAGCCATTCTGTTATTAGAGAAAATGCTGGGGCAACTTCTATAATTAACTATCTGCTTTTCACGCAGTTCAATCAGCTGTTTTTGATGAAAAACTCACTGATGCATGGCATCTCATATCATCTTCTCCAGCATTGTGACTCGGCCAAACGTCATTCAATTTCTCGACCTGCATCCATTTTTTTAGCCACAAGCTCAAGTTTGACATTTTTCTCCTCTATTAATTTTTCGAAACGACTACATATACTCATAACTGGGACGACATTACAGACCTGAAATCTGAGTCGGGCGAAGCAAAAACGGATAAAAACTCGTTAATAGATATGCCGAAGATTAGAAAATCCGACCAAGGAATGTCTAAAATCAACCATATTGTTTACGAAATTTATCCGTTAGGTATCGACACAAGTAACTTCTGGATCAAAACCAGCATTCCTTGGTTTTTTCACATCAAGAAAACGGGAAACAAGGATAACAACATACATATCTAATATGCAAGTTGATGAATTTGTTTACCCAATATATATGATTCAGTTTCTTCCACAACAGACTCGAAAAAATTCTTTCGCTTCATCGTGGGTTTTGTTTTGTAGTCGATAATTCAGAAGCAACTCATCCAATACTTCCACTCTTGAATCCTGCATAGACGTTCATGTATTGGAATTGGATGAGTACATGAACTTAATGGTTCCAGGTCCCTGTTTTCGAGCCCGGAGGCCCGTGTTTTGGCCACCTCTACCCATAAGAATTCCCAATGATGGGAGAAAATGAAAATAAAGAAAAGAAATACATTTAGCAAAAGATTATAGCAAACAATTAACCTTCTCTTCTGAAGCACTGCGTTTGACAGGCTTTCTTTTGGCCGAAGCATGTGAGACATCAAGCTCAACAACACAATTGATTTAAAATTGGCATTCATGAAACACATGTAAACATTATCAAGTTATTTGATAAAATAGGAGGTAAAATATGCCAAAAAGTATTAAATAGAGCTAATAATAGCATATGTTGTGCCTTGCAATTATTCAACTTTCCATTTTATAATTTCATGGAACTACATAAAACATAATATAACTTTGTTCAATACTCAAAATATACCTTTCTTCAAATGAACATGGATGAAAAATCAGAAATTAAAAATTATATTTCATTTCAGCCAATGATATTTTACCCAAATCTCCAGTAAATGTACCAAATTCATCAAGTTCATGTTTGAACATTAACTAAACGCGAGGTATACGTGATCAACTGAAACTAATCTATA